CCCCCTCCCCCTCCCTGTGGCCCTCCACCCACCTGTCCCCTCCCCTTCATCCCTGTCCTGCCCCGTCCCCTCTTCTCCCCTGAAGACACTTGCTCCCCTCGACCCGTAGTCGCGTACCTCGCCTAGTCCTCCTCCCTGGTTGATGTAACCCGCGCGGTTTTGTAAATCTAGTCGCTGTCGTACAAAACAGGTGCGACTTTTTGTTTTCGTCGCTGATTACAAAAGGAGATTCGTTATCGGTGAGCGTGGGCGGGCGTTGCGATGAAATATTCATATTTTGTTTAATAAGTCACAGCTGTCGGGAGGAGTGTACCGGTTGCTATGTATTTTGACAGGTGGGACAAGGCTCCACTAATTGCCTTGCATCTCCAATTCAAATTACATTTTTGCAAACCAAGGATGTTCGTGTCGGGTGTTGGTGTTGTTGGATGAACAGGTAGGTGTGGGTGTGGCCGCATATGAAATGCGAGAGCTGATGAAAATATTTTTTTTAAAAGGAGTGCGGTAAAAAAAAATTGTCTTTTGAAGAGAAATGTTGGGGACGTTTTAAACGCGATGAGGAAACCAGCCTGTGCTCGAGTCTAAATTATTTATGCGCGGGCCCTTGACAATAGCAGGTACAGCCGTTGTGGCAAAAGAAGAAAAGTTCTTTATTTACGGACTATTGGAGTGTTTGCCGGCAGACTGGGGGCGCAGATAGGAAAATATGTATCCTGCTTGCTTTCCTTTTTCTTCTCCCAACACTCCAACTCCGTTCTGTCTGTTTGCCGACTCGTATGAAGTGGATTGTGTTCAGCGTTGCGCTCTGCTTTCTCTTGAATGACGCCGTCATTTTTTCCCTCGTTAAATCTGTCTTCTCCGAAAATTTTAATTAAACCTTTGCGCGTTCTGGACGTCTAGCCTTTTTTTTTGCCGCTGGAGTGAACGAGAAAAACACTCAACGACTTTGTTAAATAGGCGAAGTAAATAGTATCTAGATAGATAATTGTAACTGTCCCATGCATTAATTTTACGGCGATATGTAAACTCATGCCATATATGCGCACACCTGATATTCTCTTTCAAACACCAAAAACGAAAGCGTGGTGGAAATAAATCTTTGCTATTATTTAACTTACACGCCTTTTTAGAACACGCGCTCAATTACTAGGTTTCATATTGAAAACTGCGGGTGCTCTAGCAACTCAAGTGTGTTACAGTCCAACTGTTATCAGTGCAATACCATGCGTATCACAGTTAAAACTGTAGTACCACACATGAATCACAATTATAACTGTAGTACCACACATGTAGTTACAACATTAGTATCAAACTTCCAACTGTAGTTCCACACTCTTATATTCTTACAAAGAAAATTCTTGTATATTACAAAGAATTTTGTGCAACCGTAATACAAAGCCAAATTTTCTTTGTAATACAAAGTAAAATCATTCTAATACACAGAAAACTTTTGTGTAATACAAAGAAATTTCTTGCAATACAAGGAAATTTCCTGTATATTACGGTTGCACAGAATTCTTTTCAATATATGAACAAATTTTTCGTAAAAGATTTAAAGTGCACACTGCACTTTTGAGCGTGATACATGTGTGCACTACATTTGGAATTGTGATACAGGTATGGTACTACAGTTTTAACTGTGAAACTCATCGTAATTTACAACTGTTGGACTGTATCACATTCGAGATTCCAGAGTGTCACTCATGAAACTCCTTGGGACTAAAATGCTCTGGGGATTAAGGCGATAGGCAAACCGTGTGCATAACAGTTGCACGCCGCACAATGTACACTGTGGAAAATTTTCATACCGGGTACAAGGAAAATTTCAAAGGAAAATGTCGTACAATTACAATTTAAAATTGTAAAATTTTCAAGCCCTGCGTATCGACTTGGAATTAAACAACATGCAAGAGTGGGAGGTTGTTTTGACGACTCGTTTTGTAATTGGTAAATTACAAAATACTATATCGTACACGTAGAAACACTCTTTTTTTACAGCATAACGGAAATGTTCGCCTTTTTCAGCAAAGCACACCTAAATGTTACTGTACCTATATCGTACGCTACTTACGTGCTCGAGCCAGACGTTGGTTGTGAGGATCTGGTCTTTCAGGTTCTGCAACAGAAAATGAAATCCACATTTCTTTAGTTCAAGTATTCGTGAGAAACTACAAACTCTGTCAAAGACAGTTGTGTCATCGTTCATGATCCAACGACGCTAAATAGTTTTGCACCTTTTGGAGCAATTAGAACATTTTAATGAACAGTTTACAACAAATATGTCTGTATGATATTTACATCCAAAATAAGTGGTAGGCCATACGACTGTTTTACGACAGTACATCAGCGCTGAATCAGGCCCACAGTTTTGTCCCGCGTACGGTTGGTCTTTCGTGTACGACCCTCGCGACGCGCCCCTATTTGGCGCAAATTGGTTTTCGAAAGAGAGAGACAGACACACACAGACAGAAGAAACAAAACAACAAAAGAGCTTCGCATTAACTGTGTATCGCTATTCTGTTCCGTTCATTAAATCCGCTTCCGGTCCCGACAGAACCCAGAGCCCTCCTCAGCCTGGCCCTGGCGCGATCCAATTTGCTGTAATGTGGCGGTGATGTTCCAGCCACCACCCAAAATTGCACCTCGCGCCGATAATTGCTGGCTTCTCCAGGAGTAACTGGATCCTAGAGCGCAGGGAATTGGGGCCGAACCAGGCCACTCCAGCGGCAGCTGGAGAGGATGGCGAGTGGGGCTGGGTCGGCCGGGGTAATCAAATTGGTCGGGGACAATTGGGTGAGCGATATGGAAAACGGGGGCGGTGGGGAAAGGGGGGTGAAGACGCTCGGCGCGGTATCGGCCGGGGTCGTGTCAAGTCGGACGGACATGGTGTTGGACGAAATTCGAGGAGGCTATGCGGAGAGGGGGCGGGCAAGCGGGGCCACCCCCAACACGGCTCCTGGGCAAGCGGTTCACATATGCAGAGACGGCGCCGGTAACAGGAGACGCTCAAACCCCGACCGGGCGCCCGGCGTCATGCTCGCGGCGGGGGCGGTAGGGGCGTCGTGCGGCTAGTGTTTCAAAGGGGCGCCAGCCGAGCCCGCAAGGACGACGCGTGGCCCGCGAGCTTCGCCGACCAAAACTATTTAACTCTACCGGTTTGTTGTTATGCATTGGAAAGTATGAAGTGGCCCCATTAGCAAGTCAAATGGCGAACTTGAGGCGTGCCGTCCGGAACGGGCGGGCATGGCCTCGCCCCGCCCCGCCCCCGCCGCACAACTCGCGCGGCAGGAAAGCTTTCGCCTGATATAAATTGGATTCGTTCGTAAAGTTATCGAAGCGTTTGCTTCATGGCGGTGGCAGGTTTCGGGGCGGCGGCGTGCCCGTAATGGATTCAGACACCGTGGACCCGGCCGCTGGGCGGATTGTGTGTTATTTCTCTCTTTTCTGAACTCGGGCGTCTACCTACAATGACCGAAGTGCCCCGCTTGGAGTGGGGCGAGCTTTGCTCGAGGCCTTTTGCACTGGGGGCAAAAAAGAAACAGTGAGCGGGTGGCGCCCAGTGCTCTTGCCTCGCCCCCCTCTGCCCCCGTCCCTTGTCCCACCCGCGCCCTCCTGACTTGAGAAGCGGTTCCATTCAAGTTAGAGAAAGGCGCCCCAGGGCGTCCCGAGGACATAATTAAGGCGAACAGTTTAAAGAGAGACGAGTACTTTGGAGCGAGTTCTGCAATGAATATGGAAGTAGCGGGGAGAAGAAGGACAAAAGGTGAAACAGGTGTTTCAAAGCTCTACAAAAAAAGGGGGGGGGAGTAGTTCGCACTAACTGGTCAGACCTCTTCAATGCAAGGTACTTAGCAAACTTTTATATTTGTCCGCGCGCGAGCGCATGCTCTAAATATGCGATTTGTGTTTTGCATTCGAGTCGCCCTTGTTTAGCGTGATGAACAAACCATTTAAAATAATTAAGCAATTTTATGCGATGGGGGTAGGTACGTCACTAGTACGTCATGCAGAAACACTTCTGTCCTGTGCCTGCGGGCTCCCCGTTGAAACGTGGACACGTTACGACACTTGACGAGTAATTTGAAAAGTGCGTACTAAATCGGAGATCCGTCGCGGCGTCCGGGGCGTGGAAAAGAGGGGGGGGGGGGCGAGTCACCAAGGCGCCTCCTCCCCTTCCGAGTCCCTCCATGTAATTTGAGGTTAGGTTGCGCCCTCCCATTGTTTGTAAGCTCGCAAGGGGCCCGTCAAGTGGGGTGTATCGGGGCCGCCTAGACGGGTTGCCAAGGACCTCGTGATTGATCACAATGACACTGGCGAAGGCTACTCACCAACTCGATGAGCTGCGACAGGCGCAGTCCGAGCTTGACGAGCACGGTGTGGGTGTTGTTGGACACGGGGCGGATCAGGCGATTGTATGTGCTGAGCAGGTCGTCGTAGAGCCGTTTGGCGTCCGGGTTGGCGTCCGCGGGCTGTGCCCAGCACATCGCGGCCACCGCGACGAGCACCAGCCTCTTGACCATGTCGCCCTTCTTCGCGATCATGGTGACTTTCACCAGGAACGGCACTAGCTATCAAGCTAAATAGCCACGATGTGCCGTGGCGCGCTGGCCGCCGTGTCCGACATGCTCACCAGGAGGCACCTCGGCGAGGTCAGGTCGTCCGAGACCAAACGCGAATCGAAAACACAAACACTTTTGTCTCAGCAAAACACGGCGGGTGAAAAGAAGAGCAGGAAGAAGAAGGTTAGGGGCGACGGTGGCGCCGCGCCGCGGCCGCTCGGGGAGTCAGCGCAGCTGCTGCTGGGCGATGAGAGGTTGGTCGCCATCCTCACCTCCAAGGCCGTCGTGCTGGAAGCTGTCGATCGCTGGCGGTGGCCTCAAAGGCCGTGCCAGTCACCTCCACGAACACGTTCACCGCGGTCCTCGGAGGGCCCCGGAGAAGAGGTTAGGGTGGCGCGAGGCGCGCGGACGAGCTGGGGCACTGGCTGCGCCTGCGTCTGGCCGGGTGCTGGGAGGAGCTGCCCCGTGCCGCCCCACCCCGCCGCGCCCGGCCCCAC